TTGGGGCCTAAAATGATAATTAAAAAAGAGATTTTTATTTTTAAAAATAATATTTTATTTAAAATTTATTCTTATCGCTTTTTGAGGTGCTCACTACCCAAACTTAAAATGATAATACTAATAAAAAATTATAGACTTTGTGAATTTTATAGTGTATAAAAACAACAAATAAACAAACAAATGCAGTCACTGAAAATAAAAAAAAAGTAGATCAGTTGACCTTTGTCAGCTAGAAAGAGAAAATAAGAGATAGGTAGATAAAGTGGCAGTAAAAATCTGTTGGTCTTTAAAACTCTTTTACTGTACACAAACAGGGGTTGGTAGAAAATATTGAAAAGTTCCCTTATTAATGATAGTTTTTTTTTTAATGATCTTTTGGTGTCATGGGCCGGAGAAATAGGCCCACACTATTCAATTTAAATCTAAATTTAATTTTATTGTTGTGTTTAATTTTTGTAAAATTAAAATTTTTATTTAGGCTAGTGGTTATAATTACAAAAAATGAGGCATAACTAAAAAAGGTAAAAATTGGGGGTGAGTCCTCTTGAGTCCGTTAAGGAAACTTATTTGCTAATAAGTCCATTTTAACTTATTTGCTAATAAGTCTATTTTTTATCTTACTAATACGTATTTAAGTCTACTATTTTTTAAAATTTCAAAAATACTCTTCCTTGAAAGAAGATTAAATTAATTTTCTATTTTAGAAATTGTTATCCTTTAATTCAATGTCAATTAAAATATGTCAATAAAATCTCCATCATAAATTTAAAATTCAAATTTAAAGAGCTCTCTCTCTCCAATTAGTGGCGATATTTCATCAATGTTCATCTTTTAATTTTCTATGAATTATGTCAATTTTATGAGTAATCGATGAGAATCTCTAGTCCTTGTTGTTAATTTTTTGTTTTTTTGTAATTTGTGATATTTTTCGTGGGGGTTAATTTGTTGAATTGAATGGTTCATGTTATTATTTTTTTTACTATGTTACTGTTCATGCTATTGTTTTTGTTGAGTATGTTACTGTTCATATTACTATTATTTTAGGCATGTTACTATTTTTGTTGAGCATGTTACTACTATTATTTTCCTAAATATTAATATTCAATGTTACTATTTTTGTTGAGCATGTTACTACTATTATTTTTCTAAATATTAATATTCAATATTACTATTTTTGTTTTTTTTGAATATTACTATTTTTTGTATTTAAATGATACTATTTTTTCCGTTTGAATTTGAGAGAAATAATTATTTTTAAGTATGTTATTGTTTTTGTTAAGCATGTTACTATTTTTGTTGAATATGTTAATATTTTTATTTTTTAAAAATATTAATATTGAATGTTTCAATTTTTTTATGTTTAAATGTTACTATTTTTTTGTGTTTAATGTATTATTTTTTGTGTCCAAATGATAACCTTTTTTTGAATTTGAATGTTACTTTTTTTTATTTTTAATATATAATATATATATATATATATATATATATATATATATATATATATATATATATATATATATATATATATATGTGAGAGAAAAAATTTTAATGTTAGTCAAACTCTTAATCTATATATGGATATAGATAGATATGAGAAAGAAAAAAATTTAATATTAGTCAAACTCCTAAGATTTATGAGTTTTTATTTTTTAGTTTTATTTTACTTTTAAAGGGAAGAGATAGTATGGTAAAATTGACAAAATACTAACTTCCTAACAAAGAAATTTTCTTGACGGACTTAAATCCAAACAAGTACATATAGGAGGAGTGATCTCCAAATTTTTCCTAAACAAATAGGGCCTAAAACTCAAGATTTGATGGCCTTATAATAAGGCGGGCCTATCGGATCATGTCGATTTGTGTCAAGGCCTTGTAATTTTATGTTAAAAATTACTTAACTAGTAAATGACACATTCATTAAACACGTGCAAATAATAAAATCGAACACAATTCAGTTATTAAAAGTGTTACCTGCTAACCATTAAAAAAATGCGTTTTGATAGTAAACGAGTAATCAAGTGATGTATTAATTTATTAAACACTTAATCGGATGATAAATTGGTTAAGGCACTCCATTTGAACACGGTTCATTTATTTCACGGGTTAGACAGATTCTTTTATTTACTATTCGAACCCTTTAATATCAAACCTAAACCCGTTAATTTTGTGTTAAATTTTGTCAGGCTTAATCTTGACACGTGACAATGGATCCTCTAGCATCCGTAGATTTGTATTTTTTTTTTCCCTCTCACTAGGGATCGTGCACACAAGATACCCATATGCAGATAGCAAAAAGAAAAAGACTTGGAAGCAGAAAAAAATTGGAATAGGTAAATCTAGATGGTTAAACATAATTAGATAAAAAAAAATTATTGTTAAATATAATTAAAAATGAAAATTATAGGTAATTTTAAGTGATCTTTTAGAAATATATGAAGAATAAATGTGATATTTTACAAGGACAATATTTTGTTATCAATTTGTCTAGTAGAATCATACAAGTATTGAGTTTCTGTCATCATAGGATCTTAAACTTTATTAATGGTGCTATATAGTATGAAAATTAGTGAGAAATTATGTCTATTTTTTATGTTCTTCTCTAGGTATGCAAGAAGTCTTTTTAATGAAGTTCCAGTTTGCGCATAACAAAAGGTATGTTTAGTTTGTAATTTGCTAGTTGTAAGTGTTGTTTTTATTCAATCCATATCCATGCTACTAATGTGGAAATTGAAGAGGGAAGGGAAGGGGGGGGGGGGGGGGGGGGGGGCTGGTCTGAGCTAACATATTTACAAAATTGTGTTCATAACATGACTTTGTACCAGTTTATGATGCAAATTACAAAAAAACTCAGAACTAACTTTCAGTATTATATCCATAGCTTAAATTTTCTTCAAGTTTCAAGCTCAATGAGTTGGTTCACTTCAGCACCAAATTCATCTGGAAGCTCATTCGAGACATCCTTGCAAAACCCAGATATCTTAGCTACCATAGCTTTTTTCATAGTCAATTCCTAGTAGAATAGCTAATCTTCACCAATTTTGCAGGTGGTAGCTTCATGTTCAACACGGGTAGTGTGGTTCTTCTCCTGTTACAAAATGAGATTCAATAATAAAGCAACAAACAAGTTCCAACAAAAATTCCATTTTATAGAAACAATTCTGAGTGAACCATCTACCCTTAAGTTGTTGTATTATCTAAAAAAAATAAAATAAAAGGAATGATACGGAAAAGCAGAGTTATATCTGTAGACAACACATACATACATGGTTTTATTGCTTTTTCTGATTGTGGTACACTCCAATTCGTATGAAACAATTAGGTTGTCATTCATCTAGATGTTTAAGTTCTGAAAACCTTGCCGGTTGATGTCATTGTCTACATCATAATGTTGGTGATGAAAAAAGGGTATACATTTTTGGGCTTGATCTCTGAATTATTATGTCATGTTTTCATTTTTGGAATTTTATATGCTTGATCTATTTTTCAATGGTTCCTTCCCTATCTTCTCTTTCCAATTTATCTGCTTGTGTGCATACCTACTTTGTTATTTGGGCTTTCTGTATTACTTTCAAACAGACTATAAAAGATAGGTCATAGTTTGAATGCTAAAAAATTACAAAGTATATTGGAATTAGTAGACTTTTGAGTCTAGTGAACCCATGATGATGCCTTAGGCATTCGAACTCCTGGTCTACTGGCTATTTTGACTATTGCATTCCCCTATTGTTGGTAAAGCAGACTATTAATTTGTTTGATGTTGGTGCATATAGTTTTCCAAGTTTTTTGGTCATGAATCATATTTCTGTTCTCAATTCAAACGAATCTTATTTCTTGTTAATTTTTTTAATAATAAAATGATACCATACTGCCCTTGTGGCTTTAAAAAGTTAATTCTTTAACCTCACCTTAGAATCCCTCCTCATCCCTTTATGCCCCACCCTGCAAAAGAGGTAATGAAAAACGGCATAGCAAAATCAATATTCATTTGACTTGGATTGCAGATTTGGGGCTGTAAATCATTGGGCTAGCTTTATTTTGCATGTACTTATCAAAGGTTGATTCTTGCTAGTTTTTTTTATTACTAGCAAGTGGATATCCTACATACATGGGATATTTGGGGTGGATTATATTACTTCTATCCTTGGAAATTATCTAGGACAACCTTTGACATATAATGTTAATAGGAAGCCCATCGACATTATCAACATAGGCTTGCATTTAATAGGAAATCTATACAACTAATTCTAAAAATGAAGAGCATCCCCTAAACATTTCCTTCTTGTTTGTTCTCATTAATGGTATTGCTAATTTCAGTAATGACAGATCCGATTTTACAATCTGTATTTTTTAATTTGATGTATGTTGGAGATTCTCAACTCCATTCCAGCAGCCTTAACCATCCAGTTGTGTCAACTAAATCAATCAATTGCTTTGGCGATCCCTCTACGACCTCCAACCCAAGTAAAGGCTATCTTTATTGTCTTTTGCAAGTGTTAGATTGACATTGGCCTTCACAAGTAAATTACATCGTTCTTCACCTATGCGCTGATATATCCAAAGCATTAGTTTAGAATGTCCAAATAATCACAATTACCTACTTCAATTAATAATTTGTCTAGCTTCTTTCAAACATTCATTTGCTAGTTCTGGCATCTAACTTCTACCTTATTGATATTAACTTTAGTATCATGTTGAGATATAAAATGTTCTCTAGACTGCATCTTGTAGTACCATTAGTATTGTTGTCCTCTGCTGTTTTGGCAACTTTCTTCTTTCATCATATCAGTAGATGTCAATCATAGTGTTTTATGAGCCCGTTCCAGCTTCATCCATGCAGCAAAATTTAAGGACGCATTTTGTTATTCTTGCACATTGATGATCAACTTTCTAACTGAACCTAGAAAGGGTCACAGACTAGTTCCCTGTTTCCATTAATCATCTTTATGCCCTTAGTAAGTTTCACCTGTCTTGTCTTAGCCTTGCTTGTCCTATAAGATACTATGCCACTGATCTATGTTGATGTTCTCCATGTTAACTGCAAGGTTTGTGATGAAGAACCTACTGTAGTTCATTTTTTAATGACCCTTGTTATATTGAAAAGCATTGCATTATTGTTTTGTTGTTTTGAAATAATAGTAGTTACAACGAGTAAACAAAATGAGCGGACAAACACTTCCACTTCAGCAGACCTTCCCATGAAACGAAAATGTGGGCATCCCTCCCCTCCCCCCCCCCCCCCCCCCCCCGGCCCGGGCTGCCCTTAAAGATGTGAGTCTTGTTATTAAACAGTTAAACCCACACACAACTGTAATTGCTGCATCTGATATCATAAAGAAAAATCTATACGTTGAAGTCATTTCAAATGATAGTATTGATGATGAATTTGTCGACCATGAGGTTTCTAGTGTTATAGAGGGTTCTTTTGATGCTGGATATTTTCTTTTTGTAAGGTTGGAAATGTTGGCACTCTTCTTCAGGGTATTGTTTTTCAACCAGGGCTATTTACTTCTATTACAGCAGCAAATGATATTGCTACATGCAAAGATCTATCAAAGAAGAGAACCTTCCATCTCGATTTTTAGCTCACAAAATCAGGGTAGTGGTGTTAGTCCCCAGTCAGAACAAGCTATCAAACAATTGGTCCAATTACAGAACCAAGCATTTACTCCAGACCAAGTTTCATTCTCTGTGCTGCAATCAAGCTCCCCTTCTACAATTCTTATGTTATGGGTCGCTAGCCCAAGGTTGAGAAAGAAAAAAAGAAAAAAAAATAGCCAAGTGTTTCCTCGGGAGGGAAAACGTAAGCCATTGCCAAATCCAGAGTTCGAAATTGAGAACCAATCTACCATTTCACTTGGGAATCTTAAAATGGTCGAACAGGACGAGGTGATGCAGGTATTTGAAGTGTCATCTCTGTTAGAAAGATCTGAGGACGTTGTAGAAGCAGCTAAAGATGTAATATTAGAATCAATCTCGTCCCTCAAAACTGCAATCCGAGAAAACGTTCCCTGAGCCTAACAGATTGATTGAAAGTGAGCTGAAATGCCAAAACCTTGAGCTCCACCAAACAACTATAGTTGCTAAACCTCAATTTGTGCCACCAGGACCTCAATTTGCGGAAATGGAAAATAAGTCCAGTGAGTTGGTTCACAATGAACTGATAAACCCAAACTTGCGGGCCACCAAACTCATGCAATTGCTAAACTTCAATTTACGCCTCCACAATTGATTGGCAAACCATTGGATACTCTGATGGAAAGGAAAATGTCTCTGAAGAATGATATTGAACAACTTCTACAGTTGCAGCCTGTACCTAAGGTTTTAACGAAGGATGAAACTTTCGATGATGGAAAACTAGTTACATATGCTGCTGACAATACTGGAGTACGTTCCCTCTAAACATGAGCTTGCTGCTGAAGAATCTTTTCCCCCGGTAAGGATTGATCCCCAAAAATCTCTACTTCAGCTTGTCCCATGACTGGCAGAGAAATTTTTCAGGATGCTATTTTCTGCCAACTCAAATCTTCATGTCCTTCTTCCCGATTCCCGAATAAATATTGAGCGTAACAGGTACACTATGTTAATAGTATCATACAGTGAATCCGACTTCTTACATGGAGTAATTATCACATTATATGGATGAGTGGTTATTAAAATTTATGAAGTTCCTTTATCCAGCCGTTCACTTATTAGATAATTGCACTAGTTGACGCTTTTGAGATGACATAACCATTATTTTGAATATTTTCTCCTTCTTAACAATATTAGTGTAATCGAAAGTTTGATCATTTTCTCACCATAACATCTGGGCCTACCCGTAAACTTTCCCTATGTATGAGATTCTGTAGGCCCAATTTTATGGCCGATTGGGCAACAAGCTCAATCTAATGGATCATCTGGGTAACAGGCCATTCATGAGCCCAACTAAGAATTCTGTCTTCTTCGTTCTTAGCTTTGTATACAATTAGTATACAATCTATTAGAATAAAATTAAAAAATCAAACAAATAGTCAAATTGTAATGAATACAATATCTTCTAACTTTAATTGAGATAATTTGATAGTTTAATTTGATCTTTTAAACGACTAAATTTAATTTCAATAGATAGTATAATTGTATACTAATTATGATTTTTTAAGAAAAAAATTATATTTTTATTTTTGATTTTATTTCAATAAATGACATAATAGAATATGAATTTTGGTTGTAAACTTATGTTCTATTATGAATGATTTAGCCCTCTTGTTTAATTTTTTTAGTTTTATTCCAATAGATAATATAATTTTATATTAACTACGATTTTCTCAAACAAAATTGAATTTTTATTTTTGATTTTATTTCAATAAATGATACAATATAACATGAATTTTAGTTATAAAATTTAAAATATTTGATATTCTAACTGATCGGAGTATTTTTGGTTTAAGTATAACATTTTAAACTTAAGAAGTCTAAATATTATGTGTCTACAAACTTCATGGAGTTGAGATGTAATTTATTAATAGACATTAGTAGGAGTTTAAGTGTTACGCATATACAAACTTTAGGGGATCTGTGTGTTATACTTCAAATGTCAAAGGGTCTAATTGATTAAGTGACAAATCTCAAGGGCCTGAGTGTATTTCTCCAAATTTATTATGTCTCAATAATATTAGTGTTTAAATAAAATATATAAAAATATGAAATTTTTGAATTTATTTATCAAATTACGATACTTTTTATTTGCCAAAATGAACTTTATTAACAAATCTTTTTTTTTTTAAAACAAAAACGGAGTAATTGAATTCTCTTTAAAAAAATTCCATAATTTAATAAATAAATTTAAAAATACCATATTTTAATATATTTGTTGCATCTTCTCCTCAAAACAGCAAAACGAAAAACAAAATAAAAATCATATATTTCAAATAAATTATGAATTCTACACAAGATTCCTCTTGCATATGATCAGTAGGAAGAATTTTTTTGGCAGGAGATAAGAATGAGATAGTAGACAGAACTCATGGTTGATTTCTTCAAAATCCTTTTTCTTCAAGTTTAACGGCAAAAACACCTCTCTCTGTCTCTCCCCACTCTCTCTCCCTTTGAATATATGCATATGTTTTTTTTAAATCCAAGACTGCGTGGTAAATTTTTTTACTTTGGTCTTATTTTGGTCTTAATACATTATGAGACTGTTTATTGGTTTTTACAGGCTGTGAAGAAGGGAGACACCGTTTTTGTTGGTCAATGCTCGTTTTCATGAAGTGAAAACTAATGGAGGTTGGAAACAACTAATTTCAAAATTATAGATGGTTTAATTCTAATTAATGAAACAATAATTAGCAATCAAATTTTAAAATAACTAGCGACCAACTCGTGTTATCCAGATTTATAGTATTTGATGATACCTAAAATAAATCTCAAGCACCAGTTCAAGAAGTCAGGATAGCTCAGGAGGTCAGATCAAACCAAGAGGTTAGACAAGATGGGCAAAGCTCAGAGGACCAGAACTGAGGATCTCTTAAGGCAAGACAATAGCAGGAAAAAACCAATGAATAGCTAGTTAACAACCAAGATCCCCCAAAGCATCAAGAGGCTATAATCAAGGCACCAAATCTTAGCTAACCAAGACCTTCTCCTAAAATCAAGGAGGATCCAGCGAAGAAAGAGCAAGGATCTCGGCCAAGATCCTACTGAACAGGGAACAGTCCTATAAATACAATGCAATGCCCCCAAAGACGAGGGGAGAACCCTAGATGCAACAGTAACCATTGTATTCTTGTTATCTTTGATATAGATAAGTAAGGAGCAAGAGCCTCCATTAAAGAAGTGGATTAGCCGAGCTCCCGAGCTAGTGAACCACTATAACTCTTCTATGTTAATCCCCAAATCCTTTTCATTCTTGCATCACCATCACTGTGAAGCATAATATATTTTCAATCCACTACTCATACCAATTGATTCACACCATCAGTTTGGCGCTGTCTGTGGGATTAACTGTTCCTGTTATAAATAAGCTGACCTCTTAGTGACTGATGGTATCAACGCAAAACATGAGCCGAAGTCAGACAAATCCACCACGGATGGAAGATCAACAAGAAGCTACTAATAGTAGACAACCAGAGAACGTCCAAGAGACAAATCCACCCATGGGGGGTCTCCCCATGAATAACGAGATGGAGGCCATTCGCCTAATCAATCAGCGCTTGCTGAAACAAAACGAAGAGCTCTTGAAACTCTTACAACGCCCACAAGAGGCACGACAGGCCCAAGAAGGCCAGAACAACCCACCACCTAGGGAGCAATCATACCTCGACCCCCCCTCAGGGAAGTTAATGAAATAGGGGAAAACAGCAGGACCGTGGGACAAGATCCTCATATGCCTCCAAGGAATGGGTATAATGAGGAAGTGCAAAGTCAAAATAAGGGGGGAGAGAGGAATGATTTTTTCCTTTACCAACACGAGAGGAAAGAGAAGCACTGGGAACAGCGTTTCAAGGACATCCAACAGGAGCTCAGCCAGATGAAGGAAGTAGTGAAGAGCAAGGCCCCAGTCACAATTGATGCCTTGGTACAACAAACCGAATCCTCATTCACTGTTGGGGTGTTGAACTTCCATCTCCCTCCTAAATTCAAAATGCCTCAGATAGAAGCCTTCGATGGTACAAAAGATCCAGTAGACCACCTCAACACCTATAAAAACCAGATGGAATTGCATGGGTACCAAGATCTAGTGCAATGCAGGGCCTTTGCTATCATTTTGAAGGGCTCAGCCTTAGCATGGTTCAATAGGCTCCCCCTAGCCTCAATCTCTTCCTTTTAAGAGTTGTCTATCTCATTCGTGTCCCACTTCATTGGAGCTCGGACCTATAGAAAACCAAGATACCATTTGTTGAATGTGAAACAAAAACCTGAAGAGAACCTACGATCTTATGTCCAGAGGTTCAACTTAGAATCCCTAAAGGTAGACATCCTAGATGAGAAATTTGCCATCACAGCCTTCATTGCAGGTCTAGGAGTGCAGTCCGAGGATCTGATGTTCTTCATCTCAAAGAATCCACAGGCGAATATAGCAGAGGTGCTGGCCAAAGTAGAAAAATATATAAATGGTGAGGAAGCGCTCCTCTCCAAGGTGGGGAGCTCATCATCACGAAGGGCGAAAAGGAAGGAAGAAAAGAAGAGAGACCGAAGTCCCTGAAAAGAAAAAGAACGAGGCAGGTCTCCAAGAAGAGACAAAGAACGTTCCCCGAAAAGAAGAGGAAATGTTAGAGACCGCCTAGGCCCTCCATAGCTAGAGCTGCAACCGAGGTATGCACCTTGGCAGCTCGCCCCTTTAACAGTCACGGTGTCCCAAATCCTGTATGAGGTACAGAATGAGAAATTCTTAAGGTGGCCGGCCCGAATGAAGGTAGACCCAACAAAAAAGGATCCCACAAAGTATTGTGACTACCACAGAGACCATGGTCATCACACCGACGATTGTATACAACTAAAGAAGGAAATAGAGTTTCTAATCCAGCGGGGGCAGCTGCGACGCTTTATGGCCAATGATAATCAAAATCGGGCGCTCCCACCTCCACCACCTTAACAGGCAGCACCAAAACCACATCAGCAGCCTATAGGGGAGATCAGAGTGATATCTGGAGGTTTCGCTGAAGGAAGGGAGTCTAGCTCAGCCAGAAAGCCCACCTGAGAAGAATCAGCGCCGAATAAGCTCCTGAAGTGCATACTGTGTCTAAGGCTCCACGTCTAGACACAACTATCACTTTCTCAGACTCAGATCTGGAGGGTTTTCAATACCCTCATGATGATCCCTTGGTAGTAAGAGTTGTGGTAGGCAATAGGACTATTCATCGGGTACTGATTGACAATGGCAGCTCGACAGACATCATTTTTTCCTCCGCTTTTGACAAGATGGATATAGGAAGGGAGAAGCTTGAGCCAATAAGTGCTCATTTGCTGGGACTCTCAGGAGAAAGGGTGCTGCCTTTGGAGTCAATCCAGCTCATCCTCACCTTAGGTGATCCACCCTACCAGACCACAATGACTGTAAAGTTCCTAGTGGTTGATGCGCCTTCTGCCTACAACATACTCCTTGGGAGGCCATCACTCAAATCTATGAGAGTTATTCCTTCTACCTACCACCTTGTAGTGAAGTTCCCAATAGAAACAGAGTTGGAGCGGTCCGAGGAGACCAGCGTGTGGCACGAGAATACTACATGGCATCCGTAAAAAATAGGGAAGTTGAGAACATCCAGCTGGATGAACTTGACATGAGAGATGAACTTGAAACTAGACCAACACCATCAGAAGAGCTGGAACCTGTTCAACTTGATGAAGAACCAGAGTATCTTGTCTACGTTGGATCCAAGCTGAGCAAGAAGAATAAGGATCTCCTCATCCAGTTCCTCAAATGGAACAAGGAAGGTTTTACATGGAAGTAAGAGGACATGAAAGGGATTGATCCCTCCATTATTACTCATAAGCTCAGCGTGAATCCAACTGGCAAACCTGCTAAATAGAAAAGGAGAAGTTTCGCTCTAGAGCGGCAAAAAGCCATCAATGAAGAGGTCAGCAAGCTTCTCCATGCAAAAGCCATCCGGGAGGTAGACTACCCAGTTTGGCTAGCCAACGTGGTCCTTGTCAAGAAGGTAAGTGGCAAATGGTGCCTCTGCATCAATTTTACAGACCTCAATCGTGTCTACCCTAAAGACAGTTTCCCTTTACCTCGGATAGATTTGATAGTGGACGTAACTATTGGACATGAGC